ACCGACAATTGAATTGGCTATTCAGAAAAGCAGCCCAGCACTCATTACAAACAAACACAACAAAAATGGGTTAGAAAACAGCGTATAGAATGGAAGGGAAAAAGAGAAAGAGACCAACCTCGAACCTCAAGATCCTACAATAGAGCTGAGGATCAAGCGAATGAAAGAGAAGAATCATACGCTGATTCAACCCGACAAGGTCGAGTTTTTCCTTACGAATAGTCACAGAAGAGTTAAAAGGCTGAGGAACCGAGCCGGAAGAATGAAGCACAAGATCATCAGAAGGAGAAGGATGAGCGGGAGAGTAAAGAGCATCCCAAAGTCGCAAGAGTTTCTTGACAAGGGCGGGTTTAGTTTTCGGGATTTTATCGAGATCCGCAGGGAGATCGGTGAGTGGCTGAAGAGGAGAGGACGAAGCAGTTGAGAGATCGAGGGCTTTCTGGATCTGGGCGACTAATTTCTCGTATTCGAGCTCCAACTTGGCTTTGGAGAAGCTTTCAAAGAACGGACGGACCGGAGGATTCGGATTGATCACCGATTCCGACTCGACAAACAACTCGTGATCCTGAGGGTTCAACAGGTTATTCTCCCACTCAAGCTCTTGATAATAAGGATCCAGATCAGCTTGCTCGTCCAGTCCTCCGACCTGTTCCCCACCTTCATCATCCACATCATCATCTTCCCGATCGACAGGATGCGAGCCGATCGAATTGGACCCGTCTCGAAGACCCATCAAGTCGCTGCGGCCGGTATTGAATTCCTGGGCAACGGGCTCCATCTTATGAGGGGGATAGGCCATCTGGTGAGTCCAAGCCGTCTGAGCACGACTGACCAAAGCGGATGTCGAGAGCTCAGGTCCGTCCGAATAACCCAATCGTTCGCTTTCGTTCTCGAGTTGAGACCGAGTCCATTGTTCGTAGCGTGGCATCTCTATATACCCTTGTTCTTCTTCATGGTCGAATAGGTCTGAGTTGTTTAGTCGATCGAAATCATCATCCTCTGATGATGATGATGATAACGAGAGATCTTCGAGCTTCTTCTTTCCTTTATCGGAAGTACGTCTTCGCCGATCTGTATTGACGCGTCGTTGACTTCTAGGGGAAGAGGGAGCGCTTGAGCTAGAATAGGATAATCATGACCAAGAAGAGACGCGTTCTTGTTTATGATTAATTGAGGTCCTGTGAGAGAGCACGCCGGAGGGGAGTGAAAATAGAAGAACTCACCACTGACCGGTCATATGGATAGTCATCATCCCCACTAGCCAGTTCCCAGAGAGAGTACGATCTCTGATCATTCTTAGTGTTGATTTGAGCATTCCGATCGAGCGTTTGTTGGTGGAGAACTTTGAGGGTTGAGGAACGGAATACCTCTGATTTCGGTGTTAATTTTGATGATGATGATGGTGGTGGTGGTGGTGATGGTGAACTCTTCTCCAGATTGTGAATCGAAGCAGAGGTAGAAGTAGATGATGTTCTAGGTACAACAATCGCGCTCTGGATTGGTTGTCCTGAGTTTTGAAGGTCAGAGGTTTGCAGGTTCTGATGAGTCGCATGACGATCGATCAAGCCTTTATTAATATCCTGATCTTGGAGTAAGTTTTCGATGCGAAGGGTGAGGTGACGGGGAGGGATGAGTTCCTGACGGGCGCATCGTTGGATGTGATTAAGTTTGGACCTGGGGGCTTTGTAAGTCAACCAAGGGTTATCACACGCCGGACATCGATTGAGACGGAGTAGGGTGGAGTAGTCGATCGAGAGTGGTGGTTCTTGATCCTGTTCTGCTGCTGCTGGCTTGGTGCTCCTTCTCTTGTGGCTACTAACTGATGATAATGAAGATGATGATTTTCGGCTGTTGTGACTTGATGATGATTGTTTGGGTGTGGGCTGATGACGGAACTTGGAGATGAGATTAGTGAGTCGATTGACTGGTTGGATTTCGATCGAATCGGTATCACTGTTACTGCTGATGATTGTTTGAGGTTGTTCGTGATTACCATGAGTTGGTTGAGTTTCTGTTGCTGTTGTTGCTGTTGTTTCTGTTGTTGTTGTTTCTGTTGTTTGTTGGCTTTTGTTTTTGTTTTTGTTTTCGTTGAAGTATTTGATTCGTTCTGGTTCTGAGTCGTAACAGATCTCGTTCTTCTTATTATGCTCTGGTTCTGAATCTGAATCTGATGATGATGAGTTTGTTGTCATCTTTGATTGTTCTGTTCTGGTTGAATGATGATTTCAGAAAAGTCTTCACCACATCCAGAAGATGGGTGCACTGCCATGACGCGTGTTGGTGACCCTAAAGAGGGCGGGTAGTCATTATGCATATATGCAATATGCATTTTCCATTATGCATATATTCAAAATCGAAAAAACACCAAAAAACCTGAACAACTCCTACTAGCAGGAAGCCCAGAACAAACCAGAACAGGAAGGATGAGCACATCAAGTTATTCTCAGACGATCGAATATCTACTCAACACATACCTAGCAAACGACCAACAACTATCCGATCAGATAGCAAACTCAATCTGCTCAACATTCGATCAAACAACAGCAATCACAACACCAGCAGAAACAACAACAACAACCGAAATCAACAGGTAACACTCAAATCACTAATGAAATAATATATATATCTATATCTAATTGTTTGTCTCTCTATCCAGATGGTTCAACAGGATCAACTCACTCCTGATATCCAAAAACGAATCACTAAACTCATTAGGCGCTCGACTGGCCAGACTAACACTCCAAAAAGATCCGGACTGTCTCACCAATCAAGGAGCAAGATGGATACAAGCATCCCAGAATATCATTGCAGTCAGTCATCAATGAAAATGATCACTATCTCATTATCACTATCATCAAAAAAGAAAATTGACTTGGTTGCTCTTTTTGTCCGAAATTAGCGCCATCAACCGGTCGATCACATCTGTCTATCACATCAGATTCACCTCATCTTGAACATCTTCGAATGGGCAACCAGATGGCCAGACTTCGCACGCGAGAATTGTGACCCCAAGGCGATCATCACTCTAGCACGTAGTTTGATAGCAATCTCAGAAGACCGCATAGAAGATCCTAAAGTAATTACATGCCATCCTTTAACTTTTCAAAATATCAGAATAGGTCACTCATCCTCGCAGTAAAAAAAAACCCGTAGATTCGTTCACTTGGATTGCGCACTCTAGCGATCCTGATTACCCGATATGCCTCAATCATGCGACCATTAGCCAGTCAACTACAAACACTAGCCTTAACGAACATCTTGAACCCAGAGAAGATCATAAGTCAGGGTGGCACAAGTCTGTTGACGCAGTTGTACCGATTGAGTGGGAAGACGGATGCATCGACGAGCTGGTCGAAGACGATCAAGGCGACCATCGGCACCATCGAGCTCATCCTCCACTCACTCCTCTCTCCCTTCCTCAACGAATCCGACTCGTGTAATCCTAATCGAGATTCACCACTGGCACCACTCGAGATCCCAGCCCAAGATCTCATCTACACTCCAGACTTGACATCCACACCCGAAAATGTCAACCTTCCTTCGTACCGGATCCCCTTGCTACTCAGACGGATCGACCGACTACTCAGTATCCTACTCGTCATGCTCTCTCAATCTACCGATCGTCCGGTCTGTGTACCCATCGGTGAACTGGCCGCCCTCGCTTCTCGACTCTTGCTCATCGGAAGGGCGCAGACCCATGATCGTGCTGATCAGGCTTGGAAACTCGGATGGGAAGCCTTGGGAGGTACAGTGACTCTACGAGTGATGGGCTGTCGACTGATCTCAAGATTAGCGGAATCGTATGTTTCACTCCTGCCAAAACACCCCCTGCTCTCCTTGATGCAAAAAAAAACTGACATTGTTGATTGGAGAATTTAGCCTCACTTTCAGGTTGACACCTTTTACGACTCAGATCCTTACCATCCTAGCCTCAGAGATTGAATCAAATAACGACCCTAAAGAGGGACATAAGACGGCGGATGTCTCGGTGATGTATGGGACCTATGCACGCATAATCTCGTGGATTCCATGTAACCCCGAGGTGCTCAAGACGACCCTCGAGCCGGTCATCAAAGTCTTACTCCGAGACATACAATTCATCTATGGCTCCCTGCCTCCCTCCTCCTCCTCCTCCGATCAGTCTCTCCAATCCTCTTCAAAACAGAGCAAAAAATCTAGAAAGAAATCGAATAGGTTTGCCTCTCATCCCTCGTGGAACTCTACCCTTCTCATCGATCCTTTAGAGTTGAATGTCGCTGAAAGAGCCTTAGATAGTTGAGTCTCTCTACTTCCCATCATCTTCTTATGAATCACATCGATCACAAAAAAGAGACAACAACTTATTATCTCTCGTTATCACTCAGCTCTAGAGATTTTGATTGGAGCCGTTCCGCATGGCTTCCCATCGCCTTATCTGACACTATCTGTTCGAACGGTATTAAGTCTAGCCGTCCATCCGTCATTCATCACGCCAGTACGAGACCAAACGGGCGAGAAAGCAGGGATCCTTTCCAGCACCACTCGGGCTCGCAGCCCGGCATTAGGATACGCAAGTCGGCCGACTCTACGAGCCAAAGTCCTCAGTTGTCTGATGAAAGCGATGACGATACAGCGGACCTCGAGCCAAGAAATCATGGGTCTGAACCTAGCCCAAACCTTATCGGGGGTTTTCCAAGCCCTGTTGAGCGTCCAAGACGGCAGCGCAAGTCGGTTGATCGAGATGGCCAGACAAGGTCAGGCCGTGCTTGCCCTCCTCGCCCGGCCCCGTGTCCCGCCTGTCTTCCCCTCCTCCTCTCATCTCCATCTCGAAATCGACCTCGAGCCGGTCCAAGAGGAAAACGACGAATCCGACTCGTCCGAAGATGACGACTTGAACCTCCTTCCTCCTCCCCAGCCATCAGTCGGCCCGCCTCCTCCTGCTCCGGCGCAGCCTCCTCAGACTCAACACTTATCCCCTGTCGTCCCATCTATCTCAGCAACCACTACTCTCCCGTCTGTTGACAAGACGGCTTCCTTACCTACTTGGCATTCCACCCTCTCCTCTCTTCATCCTCAGACCCACAACGGTCTCGGTGATCAGCCTAGCCAAGACCTCGGCAAGAAGCGCAAATCTCTCGAGGAACCACAGGCCTTCTCCCGTCCACTCAAAAAAACTTTCGATCAGTCAGTCGCTTTGGATATCGAATCTGACTCTTCCGATGATGATGATCATGATGATGATGATATTGAAGCGGGGGATGGCAAGCGGAAGCGGAAGGAGGGCGGGAAGTTGCCTCAATTGGTCTTCGATGATGATCACGAGGAAGAGGAAGAAGAGAGATGAGAGGGGCAGAAACTAGAAGCAGAGGAGGAAGAGAGATACCGGTAGCGCTGAATGAGACCAAGATTCTCTCCAATAATGGGATTTTGTCAGGTCCTCTGTACAATCAATCATCACCTTTCTTTTTTTATATTATACTTATCTGTCTTCTCTTTACTGTGCCCTTATCTCCCACATCTAGTTTGGGCCTC